AACTTTGTGTGAATGGGGAAGGTTAGGGCCAGCAACCCTTGGGGGGTTAGGGTTAATGTGATGTAAATCCAGGAAGATTCTATTCATTTTGCATGTTTTCATGTTCAAACTTTGAACCCGAATTTGTTCTTTGAAACCATTTCTGAGAAAAAGTTTCTAGCTGGCTCAATACAACGACTAATCGCGAAAGAAAGTGGAAATCTTCAACGTATGACAAATTTGGCAATTTGTTTTCACAGAAATCAGTGCAGCACAAAGCAAGTTCAGACGGCAACTACAGTATACATCAACCAGTAGTCAATAGCTTTTGAACAAGGCACCTGTGCAATTCAGTTACACTCGAATGTCAGCATCTCGTTTAAACAACATAGCTATCTCGTTTAAATGATGACTTGGTATCTTGTTTAAATGACATATACATGTATGTAGATACCTCATTTAAATGACTTAGTTATGTCGTTATAACTATTTTGTTTAAATGAGATAAAAGAATTTTTTTGCTTTCGCAGCAGTACATTTCACAGCTAAAAAAAGATAAAAAATAGCAAAACAAATATGAAAATATGAAAACAAGGTTAAGTGAGACAAGAAGGTGCCATTTCAAGGATTTTAGTAACATATTTCTATGACAATGGCCCCTTTAAATCCCTTATTTGATGCTGAAAATGGACGGTATTTACTTGTATCATTTTGGGACATATTATACAGTTTCTGTTTTTGCAACAGCCAAGGACCCACAGAACCTTTATTTTTGGAATAATAAAAAAAATCACTGCAGTTATAAGGTGCACAGTATCTGTCATTCAGAGGCACCCATATATTATCATTATTACTGCTCATTGAGATTACAACATCTGAACATTCCTTATACCATCTCAGCTCCCTGGGGAGTATGGTGGCCCCATGCTGCCATATTGGCAAAAATTAAACTCGGTAAACTGTTCCTGCCCTCGCAGATACCCATTTTTAGGGGTAAAGTGTCTTGTCCAAGGTCACAATATGTAACCACCAATTGTATTCAAACCCATTACCGTATGATTCAGATTGGAAGCTGCAGACCCTATCCACGACACCACAGTTCTCCTTTTTTGTCAACCCCAAAATTCTCAATTCTCAAGGTAGCTCAGAATTCTTAATTCTCGACCAATAAATATTTGTTTTGATGTTGTTCTTTATGATATGGATTTGTCTGACAGATTTTGTTTCAGGTACAAGTCTGTCCTGGCTGCACAAATCATGTTACCCTCACTGTGATTAGTCAATGTTTGTCTAATGTGTAATGAACTTTCTTGTTGGCTCTTTACACATACATGCATGAAGTACAGTGACCGTAATTCTGGCATCAATTGATAATGCAACTGACCAATACTTTCCTGTATTTTTTTTCAATTTCAAGAACTCTGGTGCTCATCCATTGTTTCATTGTGATAATTTTGTCATTGGTTTCCTCTTTTGGTAACAGGTCATTGTAGTTGTCACATCTGATTGGACCGTTTTGTGTTTTGATCATGCTCTTAACCTATTATGGGAAACGAAGCTTATGACACTTCATGACAGTAAATACTTCATCAGGTGAGATCTATCGCAGGGCCAGTAATGGAAATAAGGAATGAGTTCCATTGCAAGAAAACCTTACGTGTAGATTTTGTCAAACTGTTTAAATTCAGCTTGAATGATTTTATATAAATTCTCCAAGGGACATTTTGACTGGAAAGTTCATTCACACGTGGTAAAGGTGGGACAAGTTTTTCATGCTGATGCATGTAGAAATAATAGTATTCAGGATTATTTGCAAATGAACATTTGAAATGAAATTTTTAATTGAGATAATTGGCTCAATGTATTTACCTTTTTTAACGAGCTACAGGAACTTTGACCATTAGAGTATTGACTGTACAACCAGATTGACCCTACAGCTAGATTCCTGCTACAGGAACTTTGACCATCAGAGTCTTGACTGTACAACCAGATT